AAATAAATTAAGTCATACGTAGCTGTCATCCGTACGCAAGGAAGTAAGCACAAGATGCCGAACACCCTTAGCAGGATGCAGCTCACCCTTCATGCGACTCGCCAAATACCTCACGGCGCTTCGCGCTTGGTGATGTGAGAGCCTGGTCCGGTGAGAACCCGGCGTGCTCCGTCCCGGCTTTGTAGGGATGCGAGGTCAATGGTCAAACGACTACGGCATGCACGACTATGAGTACACCCCCCCCCCCCCAACAAACTTGATTCGCGCCCCCCAATCCGTAACCCTCGTTGTGTGATGTGTCCAGATGTCGGCCATGTCCAACCGCACCGTGCTCGTGGACAACAACACCTGGAACAACACCCACATCGCTACCGTAGGGCTGCGCCCTTGCTTCTTCAGAGGAGAAGGCCTACCCTATCATGGAGGTGTGGTGGCACGCTAAATAGTTGCTACTGCAGCGCGTTGGTTTGACGGGGTGACGGTGGCAGCAGTGTGGGGGTCGTTGCTACTGTTGTTGCGGCGGTGGTTGTTGTTGTTGTTGTTGTTGTTGTTGTTGTTGTTGTTGTTGTTGTCTTGTTGTCTTGGCATTAGAAACCGATCCGGTATCTGCTCGGTACCGTTTCAATGGGCTCGTTCCTGGAGTTCAAAGAGCGATCACGCGTTCTTGGCGCACACGCACACGCACACGCACACGCACACCCACCAACGCCAATGTTCCACCAGCGTGGTTTGCTCGTCGTGCTTTCCGACAGCGTCCCGACCGCAACCCGTTGCTTTTTCTTCCGCCATGATACGCAAGGGTCGTCCAATGTCCCCTTGCTTCTCTACAGCAGTCTTGTACATAGATGTGGACCAACAAGTATCGGTATACCACTTGGGAAGGGTTAGGTTCCACTCTGAGCGACGCCAGCAACGATCCCACCCCCGTCGCCCGGTCCCGGCAATCACTGTACCTGTGCACGTTCGCTGTTGTTACACAATTGACAGTCCCTGGACGTGGACTACGTGCTGGTGATCTTCGGGGGAGTGACGGGCTACTCTAGCGACGACATCAACAAGTTCTTGTGGCCCGTGCGGATCGGAAGCGGCGTTTTCCCCGACGACATGCACCATGAGAAGGTATTAATAGGTGCCTTTCAAGTACGGCATGCGGATTTGAGTGGTTTGCGGTACCGAAATGGTATTTTTTACGGCGCGGTACCACACGGAATGCATCATGGGAACGTGCCTTGGTACAAGGCATGCGGCATGAAATGGTGTTGTTTGTACCACACGGAATGCATCATGGGAAGGTGCCTTGGTACAAGGTATGGTGCATAAAATGAGTCGTGGTACGCTACGAGCCGGTACGGTATGGCCACGGTACGGAACAGCACGGCGGCGAGGGAATTTCGTAGCACGCCATGCGGGACGCTACGGCATAAACACCTCGATGACGAACTGCCAGTTGACCCTGAAACAACAAGCGACATCCACATATAGCGCCGAAATATGTGGTCCCTCGTTAACACGACAAACATCGCGGCCGGCCTCTCCATTCGACCCACGATATGTGTGTGTGTGTGTTTTTTTTGTTTTTTTTTTCACGCGGGATCAGGCCCTTGTCCGGAACCCCGCTCTCCCGTTATACTATCTCCCCATCCGCCAAAGCTAGCTAGAAAGCGCCGCGATATTGTAGAAGGTCGTTCTTCCGGCGTTTGGGCTAACGCGTCCCTACCGTCTGTCCCTCTTGACGCGTGTTTCTTGTTTTTCCTTGGGGCAGGACTTCCTCAATCCCACCGGGCAGTTCGACGTGGGCCCTGCCGGATCGAAGGTCTTCCAGAACTGCCTGGCCTACAAGCTGTGCTACTACCGCTTTGGCGAGCTCCGGGTGCGTCTCGATAGAGAGAGAGAGAGGCGTTTGCTTCAGCCGTTTCTTCAGACTTTGCTTCAGGCTTTGCGTCAGGGTTTGTGTCAGACTTTGCTTCAGACTTTAATTCAGGCCTTGCAGGCTTTGCGCCAGGCTTTGCACCAGACTTTGCGCCGGACTTTGTGCGTCAGGCTCTGCCAGACTGTGCTGCAGACTTTGCGTCTCGTCCCCAAGTCGGGAAGGAGGCTCTTCCAAGCGGTTTAGGTAACTCTTTCCCCCGGCTTCTTGGCCAGCTCGGGGAACCGCCAGGAGACCTGTTGGAATTGAACTTGCCAAAGGAGGGCCAGAGGGGGGAGGGGGCGGGCGGGATACCTTGCTACGTCAATCTCTGAGTGAACCTTTCGGTACCAGTTGCACTAAAACGTTTATCTTTTTTTATCTCGGGAGGTTTTGCGAAGGAGCTTGACTCCCTAACCAGGCACCCCACTTGTACCCACGTAAAGCTGTCCAACAGTGGAATGCCCCCTTCGTGAAACTTTTGTCGCGTTCTTTG